CTCCTAACCAATGTCGAGCATGTTAAATCTTTATTTTTAACAAGAAGAAAATATGGACAAAATAAATTTCGGAATTTCTCTGAAGAACATTCTAATACAAACTAGACTCCAAAATTCGCTTGAGGATGAAATGGAACTAACGTATTTAATTTAATTGCAAAATTAAATTCGAAGCTTTTAGCTTTCGTTTTTGAGACATGGTTAGAACTGTGTAGCGAAAAAAAACATATTTTAAATCAGTTAATTTATAATATTAATGTTCTGTAAATTTCCATTTTTTTTGTAAAAATAAAAATATCTACAAGAACACCGGATTATATATCTTACTGTTCTTTATATATATATATATATATATATATATATATATATATATATATATATATATATCCCTTTTTATACATGCTTCGTTAAAGATGACTGAAAAGGTACTTCGATTATACTTTTATTTAATTTCTCTTGTGCTGTATTTTATTTATTGGACACAAATTGTGCAAAAACAATTCGAAAGTTTTGCATTTCCCAGAACTTTCGGTTATTGTTTTAGCCCTTATCAAAGACGATTTTATTTTTTTTTTATTTTTAAATGAAGGTGTAGCTTTTATTTTAAGTTTCTGAAGTTATAGACATGTTTAATTTTCCAAACACGGTCAGCACATTTTGGCCTTGTTCATAGTTATTGTTATTTAGTTTGGCTTTTTTTTTATTTAGTGCTTCCATTATTTTTAATGATTTTTTCATGTGGGCATGGCTATTATACTTGTAATTTACTACTGGAATGTTGCGGATGAACTTTGGTAGGATCCATGTTTGTTTAAACGAGTTCTATTTGAGTTAATAGGCAATACGTATTCATCCATGCAAGTTTGATTAAAAACAGCCGACAATATATTTATGTTTTTTTGAGTTTTTTTTCTGATTTACATGAGATGGGTAAATTAAAAAACCCAAAAAACTAAGCATAATCTCCTGCAACCTCATCAAGAAAATTTTTCTACGAAATTTGTCGGACATTCAGGCCGGTAAATGTAGTTAATATTGTCTCATATAAACAGAGCATTTACTTAAATAATTGTATCTATAAAGTAAATAACGTATAAACAAGAAATATATTCAAATAATTGTCATATATTATTACTTAAATATTATTTTTAACGGATACATTGATTTCAGAAGAGGCCACATTTATTTATGAAACAATGTTTATTTATTTTCATCTCTTGGGCCGAATATGCAAAAAATCTTATAAACGAAAAAACATGCGCTTTCCGGCAGGATTCGAACCTACATACCCCTTGGCACGTGATTTCATGTCGGCTTCACTATTAACTTTTGTCTTTTTTCGAAATATTCTTTAATTTAAATTGTAGATTTTTCCTTTACCATTCTGTACATTATCTTATTTTTTTTTAAATATGACAGACTAAATATTTTCATTAATTCTATTTTGTACATGTTTTTCTTTCTCCATCTTTTTTTTTTCTTTTTAGTCTTTGTTTTTATGGGTTTTTATAAATTGATGAATGAACGTTTTATTTCTTTCAAATCTTCACTTCTTTTCTACTTTCCACCCGCCTTTTTCTTTTCTTCTAATCATTTACTGTTTCGTTCTTTCTACTTTGTTATACTTATATTTCCCATACTTTTTCTAATACTCACTATTCTGTTTTATTTCTTCCATTTATTTTATTATATTTAATCTTATCTTTCTTTCTTTCTTTCTTTCTTTCTTTTTCACCTAACGTTGATTAACCTTTCTTACAGTATCTGTCTTTTTCTTTTTCATATCCTATTCATTTTTTTCTTTTTCCTTCTTTCATATATTACACTTGTTATCTTTTCCTTTATTGCTTTTCTTCCTTTCGTTCTTTTCAGCTTTTATTCATCCTTTTCTCAGAATCTTACTTTGCTTTTATTCATTCCTTCTATTATCTTTGTTTTTTCTTTTTTATTTCTTCTTCCTTTGAATTTCTTTCTTTCTTTTTTCTTCTATCTTATATTGCACGTTTTATCTTTCCTTTATTTACATTCTTCCTTTCTTTCTTACATGTTTTTTAATACATTGCTTTCTTTCTTTCTTTCTTTCTTCCTTTCTTTCTTTCTTTCTTATTTTCTTTATATTCTTTCCATTTTCTTTAGTTTATCTTCTCTTTTTCAGAGCACTCCTCCCGAAGCGTTGTTTTCCGTTTGGGAAACCCCTCCTCCTAGCGATGTAATTATCATCATCATGTCGATATACGGCCATTAGTTCAGATCCGTGTGGGAAATTTTTACAGCAGTTAGTCGAAATTTGCTGCGGTTACTGTCAATCGGCTTAGCTCTGCACTGATCAGCAACTTGGAAACACTACATATTCAGTTGCCGACAGAATTCTGTGTCAGATCAACTGAGGGATATAAGTAAATAATTCTATTGTATCAAATATATAGCGGACATCGTAGATAGGGTGATAGAAGAAAGCGAGAAAAAAGGACTAACTGTCAACTTTAAGAAGACGGAAAGAATAGTCATCAGCAAGAGAAAAAAGCCCAAGATGCTCGTTACCAGTTTGATTTGATATGTAAGCAAAAGGAAGCGAAATTAGTGCAAAGAGCTTAAAATGTAAAGAAAAAGAAAATACAAGAGAGAGAGAGAGAGAGAGATAATTGGGCCCGGAGAAGGAAAAAGAAGGAGTTAGGAATAAAGGATATACTAGAAGGAATAAAGAGAATAACTGAGATGAAGAAGAAAATGATTGCGAAGAAGCAAATTTGAGAAGAAGTGAAGAAAAATTATTAGTAGAGGAAAACGAGGGGAGAAAGAACAAAGAACGATGAACTGAAGAAGAAGAAGAAGAAGAAGAAGAAGAAGAAGAAGAAAAAGAAAGAAAGAAAGAAAGAAAGAAAGAAAGAAAAATAGAAGATAAAATGTGTGTACATTTATTGACAATATTTATTAAGAAAAAGAAAAAGAAGAAAGCGTGAAGAAGATGAAGAAAGAGCAGATGAAAAAGGTCTGTGAAGAAAATGACGAATCTTTTGAGAAAAGTGAAAAAAAAGGATTGAGAAGAAAAGTAATTGGAGAAATTGAAGAACAGGTCCGAATAAAACTATGAAGAAAGAAAAAAAAGAAAGAAAAATGAAGCTGAAAATGAAAAGAAGGAAAGAAAAAGAAGACCGTGATGAAATTATATCTGACGAGCGTTTTAACATGAAAAATGTGGCACCGAGATCCGTGTATGCATTGGAAGAAAAGTTTTGAGAAATGGTCAAAAAAATGTCTTTTAAAATCAACGAAGCTCTCAGATCTTTACTTGCTATCTTCATAGCTCTTTATCGCTGTTTCACTCTCTCTTTTTTTACTTGCTCTTTATCCTACTCTCTCTATCGTTTTATAATTCTCTCTATTACTAACAATCTTTATCCTCATCCTCTTTATCCCTCCTCTCTCTATCTCTTACTCTCTCTATCCCGATATCGAGTCTGTGTATACGCTATATAATACTTACTTTATATATTATTTATATTTACCGCATTTTACGGCTTACAAGACGCACTTTTTTTCCTAATAAATACCCTGAAAAATAGGTGTTCGCCTTCCAAAATGAATGTAAGGCAATGTCCATGCACAAGTAAGCTTGAACCTCATTGGCTTGACTGATAGGGACGTTGATTTATATGTTCAGTCATTACACCTTATATGGCTCTAGTGGGCCACATAAACTGTAATTAAGGTCTAATTTTAGCTATCTATCTAATTAAACCTTTTATATAACCTCAGTACTTAGCTTTTACAAGTATTTCCAAGACTATGAACCTTCCTGCAGACGAGACACAAGCTTAAACATGCTCTGTTTACTAGTAACGGCAGCAGCATTTCTGCTTTTGACTAGCACGTCATTGCCATATCTGATGATTTATTAATGTAAACAATACATGGCACCAGTATCTGAGGGACGCATGGGGAATGTGTTGTTCTATGAGAATGACTTTTTTCTTAGAAATTTCTTTTCAATATTAGGGTGTGTATTCCAAGTCGCAACGTCTTGTTTTCCGAAAAATACGGTATATCAAATATATATATAATATATATATTAAATGAATTGTATTTTATTAAATACTGTATTTGCCAGCCTATGGGACGAAATTACTTTTTGGACGCACCTAGATTTTGGCATGAAATATTTAAGAAATAAATGAAATGGACATATCACTGCCAAAAAGAAAAAAAAAATCAAAATTATTACCTCACCTTTATGTGACATTCTCAATAACCATGAAGAAACAGTATTAGCAGAAAATATATTATTAATATTTTCTTTTTAAATAAAAGTGAGGTATCACATAATTGCCAGGCCATTTTTTGGAAAAGAATTTCAGAATTTCATCATGCATTTATTGAAAAATTATTTTAGTTGTTTTTCAGGGAGCAACATCTGAACATAACTTCTTTTTTTTATATGGCGTGTCCTTTCAGAACGTGAGTGATCATGGCCCTCCACTTTCCTCATCCCTTGTGACTCACAATAAGTTTCGTCCTTCCGCCGCCTCCCTCAGTCCACGTTCTGTTATCCACTTCCTTAAAACCGCCAGGAATGCCATGCGTTGCTTTCCTTTGTCTCTTTTTCCTTCTATTTGACCTGTGAGTGTCAGATTTTCCAGGCCCTCTTTTCTCATTACATGTTCCAGAAATTCCAGCTACCGCTTCCTTATGTTAAGTATAAGCCCCCTCCTTGTTTGCATCATTTCCATTTTCCATTGCTCACACGCTCGGTCCATGATACCCTTAGCATCCTTCCGTATAACCACATCTCCGTCGTCTCGAGTCTCTTCCTCATCTTTGAGGAAATCGTCCAACATTCGCTGCCGTAAAAAATGACATACCTCAGTATTCCTTTCTTCGTTACCAAAGAAACCCCCCTGTCTCGCAATATTCGGCCCAGCTTTTGTAATGCATCCTTGGCCATCACAATACGTCTGCGGATCTCAGTGTCGCATTCCCCGTCCTCTTTCAGAACGCTTCCCAGATATTTAAACTTCTGCACTTGCTTGATTTTAGTGTCCTCGACCTGCTAATCATATTTCGGGCTCATCTTTTTACTGATGATCATGCATATAGTGAAAATAACTACAAAGAAATCTACTGGTATCACTGAACACTAGTACACATAGTAATAAATAACAAAACAGAAATATGGTTATTTCTTTGGTAAATAAATTCCCATATTATACATGCAGAAAATACATTTTAGTACCTGTATATCAACAAAAGCACACAAAAAGCAAGCAGCAATATACTAGTCAAAGTAAATATTTCTGTAAAATCTAGTATTTCACAAAACAAACAGCAAAACTATAGTTGGATTGGTTACGTTAATACTAATTAGCATAACCATCCTACTATATATTAGGCAGAATACTAGATGGAGCAGTTAGTCGACGAGACGACTACTACTAAAATTGTGCGTTTAAGAACTTCATTACAAAAATATTATGCAATTCTATAAAGATCTTAATTTCTTTCTCCTGGGTAAATTTTTCAGGAATATTTTTATTGATATCATGTTTGTTAACTTCCAGTTTCAGTGTCAAGTTCTATGCGTGCACTGATTCCGGGTGAACGCCACATTTTCCTGGTTTTCATATCCCACCCATGCATGATACTGTTGTATTAGACGTAGGGTAATATGACAGCAAATACGGTATACATTATATTATATTAAATAATAGTAAAAAAAAATATGTGTTATTAAAAAGGCAGATAAACTTCTTGTAAATTCTTAAAAATAATGAACACAACATTCTTTTATAATTGTGCACGTGTCCCCACCCCTGGTTAGTTCCATCGACCGTTACCCCCTGCCCACATAAATAATGAACTATTCCGTTTTGATCACGTGCTAAGTCAAAATTCTCATCACAGACGCTACTTGGTTTGGTCTTGGTCGAAGATTAAATTTATTTAGAAGCTGCCAGAACATTCCTTTCACCCAAATACAAATGATAATTTTTCCAAAATCTTTTATAACCAGTAATATATATATATATATATATATATTAGCAATTTAAATGGTAGGTGGGTAATGTTTTAACAGTTGTCTTTTGATTTAGGTAAATTTACTGTCAAAGATGTCGGTTTTGTTAATGTCAAAACTTTGTCAAACGTTATTTGTGATTGCAGTTATGATCGCTTTTGTGAAAGAAAGAAAGAAAAAAAGAAAGAAAGAAAAAAAGAAAGAAAGAAAAAAAGAAAGAAAGAAAAGAACGAAACAAAAGAATGAAAGAACAGAAATAAAAAAAGAAAAGAAAAAAGAAAGAAAGAAAGAAGGAAAGAAAGAAACATATGAAAAAAGCGGGAAAAGGGAACCTTAGAAAGGATAATCAACGTGAAGTAAAAAGAAACAAAGAAAGAAACAAACAAAGAAGAAGCAAAAAGAAACAAATAAAATTAGAAGATTGAAAGAAAAGAAGAAAAACGGAAAATATAAGAAAGAAAAGGCATAATATGAGAAAGAGAAAAAAGAAACAGAAAAATAATTTAAGATTAAAAAATGAAGGAAAAAAGATAGTATGGTCCCCAAATGAATAAAAATATAAAAGCGATGAATAAGTAAAAAGAAGAAAAAAAAAACTATTAATAAAGGAACTTGAAGTAAAGAGAAAGAAAAAAGAAAAAGAAAGAAAGAAAAAAGAAAGAAAAAAAGAAAGAAAAAGGAAAGAAAGAAAGAAAGAAATGAAACGGGCAGCGAAAAAGACACATACTGCAAGAAAGAGTAATCTTCGAGAAGTAAAAAGAAAGAAAAAAGAATAAGAATGAAAAAAGAAAGAAAAAAAAAGAAGACGGACCCTCCAGAAATCACTCCGTCCATTCGGCAAGGTTGTCTGTAATTGACTGTTTATATTTTCCATTGTTTCTTTTATTATTCTAACCCATTATTGATGCAAGCTTTATAGAATGAGGATCTTGTTCATGCCTGTAACAAATTGTTGCCTCCCGGTGTTGACCTCAGTGTCCACTTTAATATTCACACACACTCTGCATCTAATATTTAGCACATTTAACCATAATAAAACATTCTCATATATTTATCTGACACACACACACATATATATATATATATATATATATATATATATATATATATATATATATATGTGTGTGTGTGTGTGTGTGTGTGTGTGTATATATATATATATATATATATATATATATATATATGTAATGAAATTGACTAAGTACGACAATTATATTAATATATTGTCTGCTTATGCCTTTATTTCTATATATTTAAGTAAATGGTCATTTTATTTTATAATAAACAGTATTAAGTACATTTACATTTATATATGGTAGCGGCTGAAAAATTGAATGTTTTAGCAATATCATTTTGAAGATATATATATATATATATATATATATATATATATATATATATATATATATATATACATGCAGACACACATATAGTTATACATATATAGATATATATAAAGAAATATAGTTTTAATGTGTGCCAATAATTATGGGATAAAGTGCTCAATATCAGAGATAGAGCGTATGTAAAAATAAAAGTGAACATTGAAGTCGACACTCAGAGGCGGCAGGATGTTTCCCCTCCTATCCGTACAAACTGACGTCAGACCTATCGATTGTGTCTAGCATGAAACAACCTGTCGCCTCTGAGTGTTGACTTCAATGTTCATTTATATATATATATATATATATATATAACAATATAACTCATTTTCAATAGCATTTTCGGATACAACAATACATATATTTTCATTGTCCTCTTATTACTAAGAGAAAAAAAAAAGAACAACATCTATTCTATACCTGAAGATGTCTGTAGGAACAGACGAAAGCTTGTAGTAAAAATAAGAACTAATACGGCAGAAATTTATATAAACAAGGATCATTTCAGTCATAACGGATACGGAGGTTTTTGTATATTATTTGAATTGTTTGCGAGGATGGATGTCTCGCCATTTAAATCATTAACCTTTGCATTAGTTTTTGTGTGAATAATTCATGTATTTGTAAATTGATTGCACGTTTATCGTAATTTAAATAACTGATCCAAGTGCGACTTTTTTAGGATAATAAGTGCGACATTACTGTAATTATTGAACAATATAGTTCATGCCACTTTGACAGAAAAATTTACCAGTAAAAAAATTTGTTCATCACCATATTTTATATGAACGCACAACCTTTAAAATTTAAAATCAAACTCAGCGTTGCTTCTGCGCGCTCCAAAAACAATAACTCATTTTCAATAGCATTTTCTGATACAACAATACATATATTTTCGTTGTCCTCTTATTACTAAGAGAAAAAAACAAGAACAACATCTATTCTATACCTGAAAGATGTCTGTAGGAACAGACAAAAGCTTTGTTGTAAAAATAAGAACTAATACGGCAGAAATTTATATAAACAAGGATCATTTCATTCATAACGGATACGGAGGTTTTGTATATTATTTGAATTGTTTGCGATGATGGATGTCTCGCCATTTAAATCATTAACCTTTTGCATTAGTTTTTTGTGAATAATTCTATTTCATTTGTATTTGTATATATATATATATATATATATATATATATATATATATATATATATATATATATATATATATAATAAAAACATACCACTTTAAAATTTACCATTACAATAATTTATTTCACCAAAATCCTTTTTAAAGGACTCCGGATCATCAGGTAACAATTCCAGCAACGAAATGAAAGGAAAAATGGGATTAGAAATGGATGGGTAGTGTATTTTTGTAACAGGGGGTGGGGTGAAAGTTGTAGTTAAAGAGACAAGGTAGAGTATAGGGAGGGGTTAATTTCATATCTCTCTTATATATATACATATATATATATATATATACATATATATATATATATATATATATATACATACATATATGCATATATATATACATATATATTTAATATATATATATATATATATATATACATATACATACATATATATATACATATATACATATATATATATATATACATATATATATATATATATATATATATATATATATATATATATATATATATATAAGTTCTAAAACATAAGGAACAATAAATAAATGATTTCATCACTAAAAAATAAAATAGACGCAATGTGATTTCTTCAAATTTGTCATAATGCTAATATTTTTGTTCGTTATTACGACCGAATCAAAATATCTACTTTCAATTTAACGTAAGAAAGCCAAAAGAAGAAATGAAAGAAAACTTGGAAAAGACAAAAGAACATTTCAACAACGAAGGAATTCAAAAAAGACATCTTTTTGAATGTCTTCAGGTCTCGGTCAAACTATTCCAAATAAAACAATTTCAAAAGCTGAAAAATATGTTACTAAATTTCATGTCATTATCGCACCCATTCAACATAATTAAGTCATTGATTTTGTGACGATGATAGAAAAATAGCACAAAATGAAAAAAAAATGTGTAAAAAATAAATTTAAGGTGACAATAATAGCAATTAAATTGCAAGTAACAATGTTAAAAGCAACATATATATATATATATATATATATTAGAAAGGTGATACAACCGTTAATGTTGCCATTTTTATTGGTTCTGATCTCAAGGTATACGTTTTTGATATTGTTGATTATATTAGTGTTAATAAAATTAACTATAAGATAATGTCCATGAACAGGTGGTTACAAATTAGAAGTAATGTCCCTCGACTTTACCTACCAACAAAAAAGGCAGAAGATTTTTAATTGTTTCGTTTAATTTATTCTGTTTTACGGTATATCTACCTCATGCCAACATGAATATTAGGAGAGGTTTGTATGGAGAGAATATATATGAATATCTATCTATTTATCTATCTATCTATCTATCTATCTATATATATATATATATATATATATATATATATATATATATATATATATCCTTTGTAAAAATCAGTTTGTAGAGCAGATTTCATTGACGGATTATTCGTTTATTATGTTGTACGACATATCAACCTCAATGGA